AATCATTACATTTCAGACCCTTAGGAATTATATCAGTTGCAATGTCCAAGATCGAAATCCTAATTGCAATTCAATTTATACTCCCAGGCTAAGGCCACACCAATTTAATTTCTTGGTTAACGGATTTTTGTAGAAAAATAATGGAGCGGGCGGGCGAAAAAAAAATAAAAATAAAAACAGCCCTAGGCATCCTATTATGGCCCAAAATGGTATGATAGGAGCCATGAAGTCAACATACCAGGCTGGTTCAAAATTTAAGCAATGAATTTTGAACTTTTAATGATACCACTGCATTGAAAGATGGAATAACTTTAACTACTAGGATGAAAAGGACTGTTTTAAACTGTTCAGGGCAAAATATGAGCATTTTGCAGTTGATTCTGAATTTTTATTTTTATTTGCAAATCAGAAAAAAATGAAGCGGCGAATCCGTTAACCAAGAAATTAAATTGTTGTGGCCCTAGGAATTATCTCAGTTGCAAGGTCCAAGATCGAAATCCTAATTGCAATTCAATTTATACTCCCAGGCTAATGTATCTAATGTGTCCTAAATAAGGTCACACTAGATAGTCCTATATATAGTCTAATCAATTGTATAACATATTCCTTTTTACAGTCACCAATAAATTCTGTAATGTTTTGGTCTACAGCACAGTATGACATTATAGTGCCCCTGCTGTATTTATCTGTTACATATAAACCATATAGACATAAAACATAACCAAATCCCTTTAAAGGGTACCGTGTCAAGCTGGATGTGGTACCGTACCATCAATTTTTGACCCGACATGCTACCCTTTTATCTGAATGTCAAAAACGAAGCAAAGCTAGGTCTGATACATTGTATACCTGATGCAATAAATTTCCACTACCAGCCTTATCGTATAAACCTTTGCTGTACAGATTTTAAAGGACCTGTTAAGTTACATAAAAGAAAATCAAAGTAAATGTACAGAACCTACAATCGGAATTCGATGATTGTAATCAAGAAATAAATATGATACGAAACTAAATGATGAAAGAAGTTTGCGACTGAAATTTTGTTGATGTTTTAGTTCAGTTCATTTCATTCTGAAATATTTGTATTGAATAACACAACATTTCATAATCCAATGGCCAAGTGCATGTGACTACTGTTTATTATACTTTGGATTATAAACCAGCCTAGCATGTTGACTTGTGGCTTCTCTGGTAGGATTTGGGGCTATCACAGGATGACTAGGCCTGTTTTTTCTTGTCTTGTTTCCGCCCACCCGGTTTGATGATTTCTAAAAAATTCCGAGAACCAACAAATCAACCTGTTCTGGCCCACAGTCATACTTCTTCCATGTGTATTCTATCCCCCCTGCCCTGGGTGAGATGGTGTATATGTAAATAGCTTGCTGTGGGTCAAGGGCCCGTACTCTGTACCCAATTATCAGGAACACTACCTGCACTGTGGCCTCATTGTTCACTGTTGACACTGCCACAGAAGGCAGTGCCGTAGTCAAGACTGTTTCAAGTACGTCCAAGGCACTACGAGGTGGGCTATAGCACACAGTGTCCGTCACTTGTGTAAGCCCTTAGACTATGTAACAGAAACACGAGAGAAAGGGCCACATGGTTCTGTTTCTGTAACTTAGTGTAAGTCAAAAAATACTAGCTATGGTTTTATTCATGTTTGCAGTGTTACTAAAACAACTTTGGAACAACAACAACTGTTACAACCACAAATTCAAAACACTGTAAACACTGTAAACGTCCCTTCTATTGCAAAAATAAGTCTTCACCTAAAATCAACTCACACTGTTAGTGTTACAGTACTAACCTCAGTTTCTACAAAATGATATTCACGCATAAGCAGAAAACAAGATCGCATTTAATGCAAAACATCTATCTTCCTTATGTATCACAAGTGTGACAGATAACATAACATAACATGTCCTCCAGGAAAGAGATGTATTGACTCTCGATCGGAGAAGAGCACTCACTTCACCCTTAAGTAGCTGGAGTCCTTTCCATGTTTTGAAGAAAGAGTAGCTCTATACCCTGCTGGGAGAAAGTCACCACCCCCCCCCCAGCTCTGGCGCCGTTCCAACATTCCAAAACATACACAGGATTTTCAGATGTTCTGCTATCCTAAAGACTCAAGCGAGATGTATCAAGTTTACCCCTAATCTGTTTATATCAGACAAATGGTATGCCGGCAAGTAACACGAGTAGGAAACTTCGTTACCTCCAGATTGCTTGTCTTAGAAAAACACCTGGACAAGAAGCATTTGCTTGCCTGACTAGTGTAGCGTATTACTGAAAGGAGCATACTTGAACATTGATATGTAGGGATGGAAATATTGGGTGCAGGTACAAATTGGAGCTGTGCAGGTATTTCTGATGTCTACCTGCACCTAACCTGCACTGGTCCATGTACTGGGTATGTGCAGGTTTGTGCAGGTAAAATTGGAGCTGTGCAGGTATTTCTGATGTCTACCTGCACCTAATCTGCACTGGTACAGTGGTACATGACATTGTACTGGGTTTTTATACACAAGTGGGACATAAAGTTGCAGGGCCTATGCTTGACAGCCTTGAGGAAAGCCATGCAACCTGTTAAATAACCCAGCACACTTATCGATAGGAAATTAGAGGAACATTGCAGGATCTCATCTTGGTGTAAGTGCAAAACTGTGACGTCACGTGTTCTGCCTAAAGTCAGTTTACTGGTTATACAAAACAAACAAAACCAAAACACAGAGTGTCATTTTCCCAAGGTACTTCAACATCATCCGTCGTCCCTTTGCCTAAACATGAGTACTACCTGTATAACCTAGAATGACGTAGAATGTCCAGACTGTGCATGATGTACAAAATAACTAATAAACTGGTGGACGTACCAACCACTAAGTATCTGATAGTGATACCAGCCCAGAAAAGAACAAGAAACAGTCATGCCTTCAAATATCAGAGTTATCAACCAAGAATTGAGGTATTCAAAAACTCGTATTTTCCCAGAACTATCGTAGACTGGAACTCGTTGCCACCAAGCACAGTTTTGGCATCATCACTAGAAAACTTTAAACACCTCCTGCAATTAAATGTGCAAAGATTGAGTGTAACAAGCCGTTCGGTGTGATATAGCTAGCTGCTGCCGCGCCGCGTGCCTGCGAACCTGGTGTGTTACGCCGAAGGGCGGTTATACCGGCTATACCAATACAGATACAGAAACCTACTATCTGATGGCCTCCCACAGTTACCACCTAGGCTAGAGACCATAATAATCTGGGAAAGATAACCACCATGGTGCCAATTATGCCACATGCCTATCATTTCTGTCATTAGAGAAAGTGTAGGTAGATTATCGCATTACAAACTGGCAAATGAGCACTGGTCACTCACAGTTAGTGCTGTGTAGCCTCTACCAGGCACTGCGGATCGCTGGAAAAATAGTAGATTTTAGCAAATCGGAGCTTCTATGGATGGCCCTGGATCTTCTCTGG